AATGTAAACAATTCAGCACAGTATTTTCATGGATGTATGAAGAAGAAATGATAAAAACACTTATGTAGTAGCAGGCATGTAGCAGTAGTAGATGTCATTCTCTTTAATGTGTTACCTAACAACTACTGTGGGGCAATTAAAAAATTCAGTCTTGGAAGAGAGCATGGTAGAAAGAAATTGTGTTCTGGATGATTTTTAAATGAGGGCTACCAATTTTTATATTTTGATGCTGTGAGTGTTAAGAATGTTTCATTAGTAGCAAGTTACATCTAAGCCCAGGTTCTGCTCCCATGTGACTTGAAGATGTCATTCATCTTAACTTTCCTGAAACTCTGTTCCTTTATTCCTTATAATAGGCATTTATGTAGTTTAAGAACTAAAGCTTTAGGGTACTATGCCTACAAGGACTGAAGGTAATATTTTTTCAAATCAGTCATTGAAAAATCAAATGAATGGTTAGTTTCATAATGATTTTAGGCAAGAATGTCAAAGACATTGAACTTGAACTAGAAAGTTTTTTTATGGGTATGCCTATGCAAATGCACACAGTAGGGTGTGGAGGAAACACTTGTTTGTCAGAAAAAAAAATCATTCCTGACAACTTCTTATTTAATAAAAAATATCTGTAAGGAGTCTAGATACATTGTTAAATAGAGTTGGTATAAAAGTGTCAAATTGATTCTGTTTTTCTCCCCAGAAAATAATGTATAAGATTAAGATTGTATGTGAAAAACAAAATGGTGATAAGAAAATGGAAGATTACATCTTCCCAGGGAGATTTTTTACTCTTTATCCTTTAAAAGAGAGCATATATGTTAAAAGAGCCACTACTATGACTTTGGTGCTTCTCACAGCACTGAGTGGGGCCGAGACTATACTTCTTGGTTCATTGATTTTTTTAAAGGTCTTTTCATTTTACTTTTGTCTCTGCTCTATTGCATACATTGCCAATGAGATAAAAAAAAATTACCCTTAGAGTCCCGAACATTACTTCTTGTTCGATTTTCACTAGTTACTGGCTTTAAGTTTTCTTACTCAGGTAAGTGATATCTCTGAATGGTAGAGAGTAGGAGGTTTCAAGCATGGTACTCACTGCCTTCAAAAACTGAGTGAAAGCAAACTGTTTTGCTTCTTTATGTTGATCTTTGGGTTATCAATCATTGTCAAAGATTTTGTTGTCATGAGTATTTCTTCTGACATTATTATTAATTTCACTTTTACTATAATCTTTCCTTTGTTCTTTTTCTTAAGTGTTTTCTATTATTATTTGAGCAACACAACTGTGCATTTCTGTGCTAACTTGTTATTCTACTACAGCCAAGTCTTTAGTTCTGATTTTCTTTTTCTTTCTTTTTTGGGTACTGGAGATTGATCTCCAGGACACTCAACCACTTAGCCACACTCTCAGCCCTATTTTATATTTTATTTAGAGACAGGGTCTCACTGAGTTGCTAAGTGCCTTGCTGCTGAGGCTGACTTTGAGCTAGCAATCCTCCTGAGTCAGCCTCCTGAGCCACTGGAATTATAGGCATAAGCCACCACAACAGAATCTAAGTCCTCAATGTTGATGTAGTATTAGAAGTGGTGAGGATATTGGAACATTTTTTCAAGTTTACTTATACATATATGAGTTTTTTCCCCATACCATTTTACCTTTTTTATTTTATTCCATCTGAAGAAACAAACTTTTATTTAAGTCATGAGATGGAGAATCTTTGTATTATAATTAGATCCCAAGATTTGGGTCATGTTACATTAGCTTCAATTGAGTTTTTTGTTTATTTTTAAAAGGGCAACCATGTGGTCTAGGGCATTGTTGAACCTCCTAATAGTAAGCTAAAGACAGTAGCCAGGTCCACATGATCTCTCAGGTTCCATTCTCAGCAATTTTTTAAAAATACATTCATTTAATAATAGTCAAAATATAAATTTATTTAAATTTGCAAGAAAGAATAATATGAAAGGGATACCTAATTTAAAAAAAAAAAGTGTTGTTCAAAGCTCTGTTTTAGGTTACCTTTCCTGACATTGCTTTGTCAGGGCTTTTAATGAACTTTTAGCAATTTGTTCTGCATTACATCATAGACTTTATCTCTTCAAGGTATCTGTCCCTAGAGCAAGATAGACTCATTACTCATACAAATCTGGGTTATAGTTTTCTAGGAAAATTAATTACTTTATGCTAGCTACATATGGTTAACTTGTAAGTATGAAAGCTTTAACATATTTCAGGTGATATAATGTAGGCATTTAAATATACTTTCCCCCCTTTTTCCTTGTGCATGTAAGTATGAAAGCTTTAACATATTTCAGGTGATATAATGTAGGCATTTAAATATACTTTCCCCCCTTTTTCCTTGTGCATGAAATAGTGGATTGATAGATGTTAGAATTAATACTTTGTAACACTGATATTTTGCATGGGATACTGAAGAATTATTTCTCTTGTTTATTGTAAATTATCAAATGACTTCTTAAATTTGAATAAGGGTACCCATTGAGAACAGAGATTCCATGAGCCCATTAGATACCTTTTGAATGGTCATTATTACATGTATACATGTAAGTGCTGTTTTGTGTGTCTTGGCATTCTAAAGGGTTGTAATAGAGTATTATCCATGTTGCCAATGTAATGTGTGTATCTACCATTAACAGTGCCTAAGGAAAAAAGAGAAAAAAAAATTCAAGGAATGAATCCTTTTTGGTGTATACCATATATATATTTGAGTTCAAAACACATTTATTGAAATAAATTTAATGATCATTATTCTTTCATGAAAGTTATTATTATCCTTATCTAGAAATCAACAACCTGAAGCCTAGATTGTATATTTATACAAAGGCTGCCCCAACCCCCTGACACCTTTTTTCTTGTGGAAAAGTTGGGAAGAAAGAAAAAAGAGGTGAAAAATATTAACTGTTTTTTTACTTAATTTCTCTCCCCCTGAGAACGCATACCTCAATTTAGTTCAACACAGTATACATTATATTAGCTAAAAATTCCATGTAAGGGCCAAGCTAGGATTTCTCATACTAAAAACATACAATATATTTTAGGACAAATGACTATGAAATTTTTGTGGTAGAGATAACACTATCTTAAAAGAATGATTCATTTCCAGTTAAAATCAATATTATAACAGGGTTACCATTTGTCTTTCTACAACATTATATTGCTTAAATTTGTAAAAAAAAATTTATAAATGTCTTTGTCAAGTTTATAGTCTTTTTACTCTCTTGCAGGAGAAAAAAAACCCATATTGTTCTTAGACAAGGGACTTTGAAGATTTTTTTTTAAAGGAGAGAGAGAGAGAGAGAGAAAGAGAGAGAGAATGAGAATGAATGAGAATCTTTTTTTTTTTTGTAGATGGACACAACATAATGCCTTTATTCATTTTTTTTAAATATGGTGCTGAGAATCGAACCCAGGTCCCGCCCGTGCTAGGCAAGTGCTCTACCGCTGAGCCACAATCCCAGCCCTTGAAGATGTTTTTTAAAGTATTTGAAAACATTTTCTAAAGCAGGCTTATTATTGTATTAGTTGAGCTCTTAGAATTATGCTTGTGTGAATGTAAACATTTAACCTGTGGCTGATGAGAGGGCTAGCTATAAATTAGATATTTATATTATTTTCTAATGAAACTTTTCAAATATAAGAATTTGCTCTCTACTGTTAATACTTTCTGCTTTGATTTTTTAGATGAATAGTCATCAATTGTTTTTTATCCTTTAGCCACAGAAAACTTGTTTTTAAATTTTTTATTGGTTCTTTTCAATTTCATATGGTAGTAGAATCCATTTTGATATAATTATACAAGCATGGAATATTCTAATTAGGATTCCATTCTTGTTTCTTAGCTCATTTCTATTTTAACCCTGTTGTTTCTGTCACTTTTTTTGTGTGAGAGGGTCTGGTCTTGCCTCAAAAATGTTTTTGATATTTATAATAGTTATTGAAATTCCATAATTATACTATTACTGCCCCATTGGCATGGTTTAAGTTTTTAATTTCCTATATATTCCTTTTAGTTAAGAAATTCATATCTATCTTGAATATAGTGTGTCTTAGCCTACAGGTAAGTGGTCATTCCCTTAATATATACTGATAAAATGGTGGAATAAGCTTTAAAGAACTTCTCCCGTTTTTATTGTTTTGTTTTCAGCCAGCCTCTCTTGTGTTCCCCAGGCTGATTACAAACTCCTGCACTCAAGCAATCCACCTGCCTCAGCCTCAGAGTAACTTGGACTGTCAGCATAGGTTATCACACCCAGCTTCTTTTGTTCTTTTTGATACCTCCAGTTCTTCTCATCCCCAACAGTCACATTCCCAGAGTCACAAACAGGGTTAACTTGGCATGTGATAGACCTGTGGCTTTGCACTACTTCTATCTCCTGTGACTCCCATGTTTCCTAACTCTGATTCTGCTAATTTAGTATGTGTCAGGAGTCATTCTGCTTTCTGTGTTTCTGAAGAAAGTCAATTTAGTACAAATTGGGACCTATTTATTCTCCCTCTATCTAACACATACTGTTAGTCAGCAGGGCTTCTGAGGACAGCAATTGCTATTTGAAGCAAACAAACCCTCTTTAGACCTTTCTGAGTATGTTTTAAACATGTCCTACTATATTTCAGTATTGAACAAAGGTTATTTAAAGTAATGATATGGATGTTTTGTAATTTGTTGTGTGTGTATACTGTTACCTTTTTAAAATTGAGTGTGTAAAAATGCATTTAATTTGTTGCTTAATTAAACATTATTGTTTTACTAAAGCTTTCTTTTCATTGCACATCTAAATTGTTAATTTTGTTTTTGAGGAATGACTCTGGATTCCTTACAAAAACAAGTAGGGCTTCTCTCTCTTCCTGCCATCAGTTTCAGAGGACATATTGCTTCTTTGGTACTGTCATACCAATAAATCATCCCAGATTACTTGCAGTCGTACAGTACTAAACTATACCATGCATTTTAAAGGAAATCTGCTATTTTCTTTTCAATCAGATGAGCAATGTGAAGAGACTGCGGCCACGGCTCAGTGCTATTCTCTTTAAGCTTCAGTTTGAAGAGCAGGTGAACAACATCAAACCTGACATCATGGCTGTCAGTACTGCCTGCGAAGAGATAAAGAAGAGCAAAAGCTTCAGCATGTTGCTGGAACTTGTATTGCTAATGGGAAACTACATGAACGCCGGCTCCCGGAATGCTCAAACCTTCGGATTTAACCTTAGCTCTCTCTGTAAAGTGAGTTTGTTTTCTTAAGACACATATTTGCCTGAACACTTACTCTTAAATGTCAGCCCTGATTACATTATTTAAATATTTTTATTTTGATGTGCTCATTATCAAGAACTTGAACTGAACCATGAACTCAAACCCAGAGTGAACTAAGCTAATTTACTCAACCTCTGAACTAAATCCAAATATTAATTTTGTGTGATCTGCAAATCCAATGGAAGGATTTTGTTTAATAATAAAATTATATTGTAAACCTATGCTTTGTCAAACCAGTGAAATGGAACATGAAAATATTACTTAAACATTATATTTCTTCAGTTCAGGCACCTGTACACGATGATATATATTGACTATTGCTTCAGATTGCCTAAATTTTTACCTTTAACTATTTAAATATTTATCTGCATTGTTTTTTGTAAGTCAACTAAAAGGAACAAGAAATAAGACTGCTTTATATAAAGGAAAGTGATTATATTAGGAATAAACATACCTTAGATGTCATTGATCATTTTGAAATGGTTCCATCTATTATTTTAGAGGATGTTAAAATTAAATAAGTTCTTCTTTTGGTTGAATTTTCTTAGAAAAAAATATATTTAGTGTTAATTAACAGAGCTCTTTCCTGAGGAGTGGGCCATAGAATAGTGTTTTATTGGTCTACTTACAACAAATTCTTCTCAGTTATACATCACATGAAAAGCTTTCTCTTGTTCTTGACCTTGTAACATCTACAATTCCTGATTAAGGAATTTAGTTATTGCCATTGCCAGATAGGGAAGGAGAGAAACAAGTTCAGCTTGTTTCTCTCTTCAAGTGGAGTTTCTGGTAGTTATTTTTTGGAACTCACATCAGTTTTCTCAGTTTCCCTGACCTTAGTCTTACATTGGTATCATCAGTGCCATGTGACCTTTTTCTCTTTCCCCACTTCTTTTTATTTTCTAGCCTTTATTCTCATAGATTTTTGTACTTTTGGTAAGGTTATTATTATCACCAACACGATTCCTAAAACATATTAAAGGCACTACACATCCACTGAATCCTTACTCAGGGTGAAATCCTGTGCCAGGTGCTTTTCCAGGTCATCTCTTTAATGTAGGTGATTTTTACCTGGCACACATGGAACTCACATTTTTTATATGTAAACTATTAATTATGATTAATTGCTTTAGTGGAGCTATATACAAAATGTTATTGCAGCAGAGTTAGGCCAGAGTGTCAAGCTTATCTGTGAGATGACAGCTAAGTATTCAGAGAAATAGAAACTTGTGCTGGATCTTGAAGATGAGTAGCTATTCCCTGGAGCATTCTCAGTACAAGAAAGGCGTTTGCATGAAATATTGTAGCATGGCCTCTGGGAGTCTCTGAATGGCCCAATATCTTTGGAGCCTGCAAGGGACAGCATTTGGGGGGACTGGACTGAGGTGTAGTAATTTGGTTTAAATGAGCCTTGAATGCCATGTGTAGTGGTGAAGGTTGTAAGGAGACATGTTAGTTTTATATAGAAAAGTAATGTTATCAGCTCTTTTGTGTGAGAATGACTCCATCAGCAGCATGAAAGAAGGTTAAGCTGTGCTGTTCAGTAGTATTCCCATAAGAAATGTATGATTACTGGAATAAAAATTCAAATTTAGTTTCTCAGTCACACTTGTCACATTTTAAGTTCTCAGTGTTTATACCTGTTGCCTTTTCCATTGTTGTAGAAAGAACTTTTGGACAGCGATGGGTTAGAGAAGTCTAAAAGGGAGATACTTGGTGACTGGCTAATATATAGTATGTACATAGAAGAGTGACAATATCAAACTAAGATGATGAATAAGGAAGATAGTGTGGGAGGTGAGGGAGAACTGGGAGGGATTGTTATTATCTTAGCCAGCTGGTGGGTGATACAGCTCCTGACATGTTTGAAGTGGTTGTTCAGAAGGGAAGGCATTCAGGGTGTTTTTGTTGTTTTCCTCATCCTGCTTGCCTCAGTTTCTTAAAGGATATTGAACTGAAGCTGCCTTATTTAATTATTTATCATCTACTTTAGTGTCTAATACATAATGGTCACTATAATTTAAGATGATGGAGTTCTTAGCTAAGGAAGTGGCAGAGGGGTTTGAGATAAATAGTAGAGGAGAGAGAGTTAAGTGTATAAATTCAGCAAACATCGGGAATTATCCGACTGGGCTGATTATGAGTGGCTGAGAAAGGAAAGTGAGACTACCAAGTTCAGGCTTTCCCTGAGAAGGAATGCAAAGGAAGCCAAACAGGGTAAGGAGCAAGGTGGGTGAGAAGTTAAGTTCATATATACAAATCTACTGGGTTTTGTTTTTTTTTTGAAAAATGGCTGTTCATTTTTAAGTTTTTGTATCTCAGAAATATAATTGACTCACAAAAAGTTAGTTGCATGTCCTCCTTCTAGCATTCCTCCACAGAAAAGTTGATAAAATACTCAGTCTGATTAGTGAGGTGGACTGGCCCTAGATAGTACTTGACACTTAGTAAATATTAAATAGCTATTGAGTGAATGAAACTTGTTACAACACACATTTTTTTTTTGTAGTTGAAAATAGAAATGCTTTCATTGAGATATTCATTGGTACTTAGTATAAAATCATCTATAAATGCAATGCATGCCGTTATTATTTTACTACAGTTAGTCTGCAGATCAGTTAATCGTCCTCCGTATAAAAAGTTGATTGTATTTTCATGCAATGACTAGGTATTTTCATTATCCCTATTAGGAGCCTTCTGTTGTTCAAGAAACAAAATAAATACTACAACTTCATATTTTTATTAGCTTACATGTCAGTGTGAAAGCATATATTGAACAAGATGATATCTCATCATGTTTGTTATCAGAGGTAGCAGCTTGATCTTTGACAATTGTGATTGAATTTTTCACACCAGATATAAAGCATTCAGTTGGTTGATAAGGCTCCACACAAGGAATTCCATATTTATTTGACAATAGAATGTCAAAGAAATATTTAGATCTGTTAAAACACACTAAGTAATTATATGAAACTTAACACTCTGTATCTAAAATCATTTAAAATAATTTTTGTTAAGATCAAGTATAAAATATACATGAGACTTTTTATTAAATATTAACATTATGTTTAGAAATAAGTATAAGAATTGTGAATTTTATACACAGTTTCATTTTTAAGAGCTATATCTCTTTATATATGCATTCATAATCAGGGTTGGTAACTATAATGTCTCTGAGTTCAGAGAGAAAAGGCTCACTTTCTTATATCCCAGAGATGTGAGGAAGACAAATCAATACAAAAGCAAAACAAGAGATATAATGTGAACAGAAATTACAACTAGCTTAATAAGATGTGAGTAAAACTTATGCTTGATGTGTAGGCCAACATGGGGCTTTTTGGTAGTCAAAGTGTAGTGTACACATTTTCCTGAAACTTTTTATGAGCTAAAAAAAAATGTCTTTTTTAATTTTTTTATTTTTTTGGAAGAGTTAAAGCTGACTTCCATAAGAAATTGGCACATGTATCTTTATATATAAAAAAAAATGTGGTGGTGAACAGTGTTCTTAGAAATAGTGGATCTGAAGAATCAGTTTCATGTGGATGTTTATTCTAAAGCTATCCCTTTCTCTCCTTTCCTCCCTACTAACTTGGAACTCCATGAGAAACTCTCCTGGTAAGATAGAAATGTATTTTTCAGTGACAATTATGCTTGCTTCTCCTAGTTTTGGTAAAATGCTCTAAATGCCTTGTTTTCTGATGGCATAACTTTATTTATTTATTTAGCAGTAGTAGTAGTAGTAGTAGGAATTGAACCAGAGGTGCTTAATTACTGAGCCAAATCCCTAGGCCTTTTAATATTTTATTTTGGGACGGGGTTTCTCCAAGTTGCTTAGGGCCTCACTAACTTGCTGAGATTGACTTTGAACTTGTGATCTTCCTGCCTCAGCCTGTCTCACTGCTGGGATTATAGATGTGATGGTCTATAAGCATTAGAATGTAAATGGCTTATATTCTGTTATATTAGAATATTATTTATATTAGAATGTTATATTACATTCTTAGAATACAAGGCTTACACTTTGTAAAAATATGAGCCTTAGAATATAAATGGTGGACTACTTATCATTCATTATATCCTCAAAAGATTTTACTGAGATTTTCATAAAAACTGAATAAGGCATTTTGAGATCCTCTGGTTTTTTTTTTTTTTTTTTGTGTGTGTGTGTATGTATGCATGCATGCACGTGCATTTTTCAATTGGTATTCATAAAATGTAAATTCATATCTTTAGAAATCTAGTCATCGTATGGTGCATACTTGTCTGACTAAAATGTCTACCTGGCAAAAATCTGTATCTGGTTTTTGTTGAAGGTATTTCTTTAAAAGAACCCAGTGCTATGCCAACAACCCCCCCTCCCCCACCTCAAGTTAATCAGCATTGTAAGTAAAGAATGAATGGACCCAGCCATGAAAGTTCAACACCATATTAAAATAAATGGGATAATTTAGACTTATAGGAGTGTATATTATAGATAAACACATAGTAGCTATAACATGTATGATGTTTACTAGGGTCTAATGAGATGTGTGTTGTCTGAATATCATCTTTATCAAGAAAATTAGATAATATATTGGGGTATATGTTACATTGGGAGAATAGATATGAGTTTTGAAAGAACTTACTACTGTAATAACTAATTTTTATCAGTATCTATGCTGTTATTATTTGGGAAGAATTACAAAAACAAATCTTTAAATTTATCCACCTTAGGAACTTTCTATGCTCTGTGGTAGTAGAGCATTAAGTTCATTTCAAAGTTGAAGTCATTAAAAGATACATAATAACAGGGAAGGGGTGGCTGTAAGATTGATTTATAAATCAGTTCCTTTTACTAGTACAGAATTTCCTATGTGATCTTCCTAATTCATTATTTTGTTTTAATAAGCAGAGGCTAAACAAAAGTAGATTAACTTCAGCATACCAGTGATGGAAATGATTTAAAATGACAACACTGAATTTCCATTTTC